AGCTTTCTCTTCTCCAGGCTGAACAGGCCCAGCTCCCTCAGCCTCTCCTCATAGGGCAGATGTTCCAGGCCCCTGATCATCCTTGTGGCCCTGCGCTGGACTCTCTCCAGCAGCTCCAGCCCACCACGTGCCTCCCTCTGTCACCGACCTGCAAGGTGACACGTGGCTACCGTTTATCTGCAGCTGCATCAGGGTGACACCACTGAAGCTGCTGGTCCCCTTGCTGTGCACCAGGAGACCCCCATTTCCCAGTCCCGTTCTCCCGAAAGCACCAGTGCTTAAACTCGTATCGGTAACTGCCTCCAAGCTATCCCTGAACCTCTTAACTTCCAGCACCAAAACTCCGAGATCTTGGAGAGTGTCTGTGGTGTGAAAATCCAGTCCAGAAATAGGCACTTGTAAAGATTACCCAAGTACAAACTTACAAAGGTTGCTACCCTCAGAGCTTCTCATGAAAACAGTCCTGGTTTCTCCTGTTCTCCTGGTGAAAAGAAACTTCCAGTTTTTTAACAAAGCCAAAGAACTGCCTCCCTCTCCGTGTTATTTTGCTGGAGGAGAGCAGCTTTGCAGAGACTGTCAGCATTCGCCGTGGCCAAATAGCAAAGTTATCACTGATAAATCATTAAACTGCTGTATGTTGTCTGGGTAGGGAGGTCCTGCACCAGCACAGACCAGGTGAGGCTCTGCTCCACGTCACTGTTGTCCCTCCTGCTCCCTGTCCCTGCCTCCTGCTTCCACAGCACACGGTGCAATGAGATCCTGGTCTGCAGCTGCAGCACAAGCTCAGACAAAAGGGCTTTAAAGTTGCTGCAGGAGAGGGCTTCTCAATTGCATCTTCTAGAAACAGCATCCCTGAAAGCGCATCAAAGTTGTGCAGATAATCAGACACGGCCAAAGGGATTATTTCACCCACGCAGATTTATGTGAACACATGTATTGCTACTGCAGACAAAGGTTTTGAAACCTGCCCAAGGCAAACCATGGCTTATGTTCTCGAGTAAAGTTGAAAGAGAGAATAGAGCTGTAAGATGTTAACTTTCTTCTTCTCCAAGCCTCAGTTTCCCCACCAGGGACAGAAGGATGACAGTCTCGTGACTCCCTGCATGTCAATTTGCTCAACAGTTTTGGTTTGCTCCAAATTAATATAGATTTTGGTGTCCAGTGTTATTACTACTGTCAAATTATAGAGACGTCAATGAATGCATTGCAGTGAGTCAGAGCCTTTCCACAGCACTTAGCGTCATCCTCAGAGCACAGCCAGGCTGTTTTGGGATAAAATCCACCACAATTCCCCTCTTTAAAAGGGCCCAATGTACGTCAGAGCGACAGCCTCTTCCCGCATCTGCCTCTTCTCTGCTTGTAGAGACAAGGAACATTCGGAAGAGGAGGCTGAAATTAAAAAAAAGAAAACAAATCCAAACCACACGTACAGGGGAAAAAAAAACAAACCATCAAAAATAAGTCACACTCCCTTCAGAAAAACTCCAAACACTAAAGAGTGTCTAGACAGAGTCAAAGACAGAGGTGTGTTCGGGTAAAAAAAAAATAATGTAGGAAAGAATTTTCCATTTCTTTTCCCCTCATTATAAACCTTCAGTGAGAACGTCTTGTCAGCTCAGTATCTCACTCCTGTTACTCATGACACTCATGTTACCAAACGTCTTTCATAAAACACTTAGAAATACAGAGGAGCCTATGCATTCTCCCACAAAAATAAAAACCCTTTCTGGGGAAAACATTGGTTCCATGACCCAAAAATTCCTACCTGGAAACCTTTAGAGTGCCATGGACACAAGGCTGAGTTGAAATGCAGGTACCTACACGCTGCCCATGGCTGGGGGTGTGAGGATCTCCACCTCAAGGACAGAAGCGTCAGCTGTGCTGCCTGGTGACCAGGGAGCCACATGAAGCCCCTGTGCCCCAAATTCTGCAGGCAACGGACAGACAAGAAAGGGCACAAGAGACCCAGACCAGAGCTGAGGCTCTTAGCAGCACAACAGGCAACGAGACGTTGTACCGAGGACTGTGTGTGGAGGGGTCTGTGCTCCACTTGGAGCTTCCAGACAGCTGTTCAAGGAAATTGCCATCAGTGTCAGCCTCACCACTGCTATTAGACATCTCATCCATGTCTGGGCCCAGCTTGAACCCATTTAACTTGTAAGGGATAATGAGATAACACATGATAAGCCGCAGCTGAAGGTTATTTCAATACCCATCTGGTACCTGTTAGGCAGCATACATCCTATTGTTGTATAGGAAATATATGCCACCTCCCTCCCATATGGAAAGGAGAAGATCTATAGATGAGTTCCTTCCTACTCCTTTTCTTTGCACAGATGAGGAAACTCTCCTCCTCTGTGTTGTTTCTAACTTGTTGTTGTGCATTTCATACCTCTTTTGGGAGATGTGACCCCTCCCAGGCTGCTGGCATCTCACAGAAAGACACAGGATCACAGGAAAGGATTTAGTACAGACGTGCCAGCTTCCTCTTCATGTTCTCAGTTAGAAAAGGATCCACTCCAGCCTATTTTCAGGAGAAAAGGTGAATCATAAACTGTGAAGAAAGCTCACCCTTTGCAAGAGAGAACCATACTCTACCCTAGGGATTCAGAGCTGAGTCCGTTTTGGAGTTCATAGGATCTAACTCCGCTTCAGTAGACATCTGCCTAAGGCTGGGGGGTGAGCAATGCAACCTGCTTGCACCCTTAATTCAGATGCACTGCCAAGAGAAGCTACAGGCTGCAGCTAAACAGCCTCATTTATTTATTCAAACTCTCCATCTTCACCTAAGAGACAACTTTAGTGGTCTCGGGTCTGCTGCTGAAATTGCCCGTGAAGCTCTTGCCTGCACGAAGCCTGAGCATCCACGAGGGTTGGATTATCTGGTATCCCAAAAATCACATTTCGTAACACAAATGGTCAGCTCTGTTTGTTTCTGTTTGGTTTTGTTGTTGTTTTCAGATCTGTGCTGCTCTCTCTTATTTTGTCAGGCAGGACAACTTTTTTTTTTTTTTTTTTTTTTTTTGTGAAAATTGCCCTACCTTGTTATATTCTAAAAACCTTTTGCTGACGCCCCATCTAGTGTTCAGCAAAGACAAATGCAGTGTCTCAATAAAGCTGAGTTGACTGGGAAAAAAATCCAGCATTTTTTTTTCAGCAAAATTAACCGTTTTCTGTGAAAACAACAACATTCGAGTTGACTTCAGCAGAGTTCTGAGAGGGCCCAGGCAAAATGGAAACCTGCATAACAAACCTATTGCTCATTCTTTTGAACAGCAGTTTTTTGAATCACGGATGCAGAGCTCCAGCCACTTCTACAGAAGCCTTTGGACTTTGTGATGCCAAGTGTGCAGCCCCCTGAGACCTAAGCCCAAAACAAACACTGCTGCATTCCTGGTTCATCACCAGATCACCTAGCGCCTTGGTCAAGATGCTACGATGCTTCAGTCCCGCTCACCTCACAGCTGGGAAGTGCTCTGATAAAACTCGCTCCCGATGCAGTAGCACCCACCTCAAGACTATTTCTGTTCTTAGGGAAGAGTGTGACAGCTCTGGTTTTGACACGAAATCATTAACACACCCACTTCCACAGGAGAATGAGTTTCAATCTGCTTGAATAGCCTAAAGCCACCCGTTGCAGGAAGTTATTCTGCATTTGCTGTTTCGCTTTCCTTTCCCAATGAGCCAGTCTGGTGCCCAGCTCCCACCATGAAGCTCCTGAACGCTGCTGGGTTCCTTGTTCTGGTGCCCACCTTGACGCCAGCTCTGGACCCCCTCAGCACCTCCTTCTTCATGGGAGGCGCTGCTGCTGTTTGGCAGCTCCTCTTCCCTGGCTCGTGGCTCAGGTGCAGCCTCTTGGAGTGCTGCAGCATGAGGGACACGCTGAACATCTCAGGTAAGGCAGGGGCATCACGAGCCAGCTCGGCGGTGGCACTGGCTGCTGGTCCTTCCCTGGGGGCTGAGGGCTTCCTTCTTCATGCCAGTCTTCCCTGGGGGACCTGGAGCAGAGTTATGGCTTAGGAGCTGATGAGATAATCCCACGGCTTCATGAGATGGACAACCCAGTGGCTGGGGGACCTGGTATTCCACACCGCGGTTGGTGGCTGCTGGCAACGTCTGTCGGATGAGCAGGAATTAGCAGTAGCTCTAAGATGCAAAACATGTCGCTGCTCTTCCTGAGATGAACAGGCTCAACATCAAGCAGTCCCTGGGGAAAGGGGAAGTTGGGCAGTTCCCTGCCTGCAAGGAACGAGTAAACAGCCAAGAAAACATTACACAATCTTTCAACGATGAATTCCCAATTTTGCCATCTGGAAATCCCCCTTCCTTTTGTCATGGCACTGCGGATAATGTTTCGCTTCAGGGCTGGGCTGTGGATTTCTAAACAAACCCTCAGCTGGTGGAGACCTGTGCACCTCCAGCTACTCCATATTGCTTAAACTGCTGCTTACAAACTGGCAGTTTTCTTGGAAGTATTTTAGCTTCAGCTTAGTATTTTAGTTGCAGCACTTACTATCAGAGAATGTGATGTGGCAACAGAATCACACTTTTCTATAAATGTGAGGAATGTAGGATGCCTCAAAAACAGCTAATGACAGTGTACAACATGCAGAACATGCCTCTGCAAACAGAGTCAGCCCTATCCCAAATCTTTATGGGAGGCAGCAGCTATAATATAACCAGGATTCTGCCTAACTCCTGCCAACCGCTTGGTTCTCAAAAAGGCCCTCAAAAGTAATTCAAGAGTTTGTGAATTAGATTCTCTCCTGATTCACACTCGTACCAGGGACTGGAGGAAGGAATATTTGTTCTCCTCACTGGTCATCCAGCAGTAACAAAAAGAACAAGAGGAGGAATAATATGGCATTTACTGACTCTTTTCTCCCCTCTCTCTTAAGTCTTGAAGATGCATTTGGAGCAGAAGGTCTTCGGCCAGCATCTTGCTGGCCAAATAGTTCTGAGAGCTCTGAGTGCAAATGTTCATTCCCATCGGCCCAGGAAGCCTCTGGTCATGTCCTTCCACGGCTGGACAGGAACGGGCAAATCATTTGTCAGCAGTATCATTGCAGAGAACCTCTATCAGCCTGATGCACCACGGAGGATGTTTGTGCACCACTTCAGCACAGTACTGCACTTCCCACATGCCTCACATGTCCATCTGTATAAGGTATTGCCAACTTTATCTTGTTTTCTTCAAGAAATTTTTTATTGTGAACGTAAAACACAGAGAATTTTGCCTCTTCTCCCAGGAGCAGCTGCAGAATTGGATCCGGGGGAATGTCAGCGCCTGTCCAAGGTCCCTCTTCATCTTCTCCGAAATGGATCAGATGCCACATGGCCTGATCGACTCCATCATGCCCTTCCTTGGCTACCGCAAAGAGATCAACGGTGTTTATTACGGCAAGGCAATCTTCCTCTTCCTGAAGTAAGGAAATCCAAAGGCCACAAAAGAATGACAAGCCCCCAGAATCAGCAAGGGCAAATGGAGAAGCAGTTGTTACAGGTCTGCAGCTGCTGCAAGCACTGCAGACCTGTAACAACTGCTTCTCCAAGCGGGACTGAGCAGTCCAGGGCCCCTTGCTCGCGGTCAGTTTGTCAGTGAACATGCCCAGCCATCGTAAATAGGTTTTATCCTGCTCTGTAACATTAGCTCCAGGCAGACAGGTCTTTACAGCACGGGCAGGACCCACCTAAGGAGGCTCAGCAGCTCTGTACACGCAGGGAGGGAAGGACTCACCTACTGAAGGCTCCTTGCACATAGGCACCAGGGAGACACCATTCCTCCATGTATTATCCCTGGAAAACCTATTTGCTGAAGGTTATCCCAGCTATGTACAAGTAATATGACTGAGTCCAACCCTTGAGCTTCAGGCTGCTTTACCTCTTGTTTTGCTGTTCTGTTGGAACACAGGGTCTACAAACACAGCTACCTCAGTGCAGGGCAGTGATGAGCAAACCGAGTACCGGCTTCTCAGGGAGCCTTTCAGTGACACCTGAGGATATAATCAGTCCCCCTCTGCCACAAAGTCCAGCTCAGTAATTTAAACCACTGTCCCGCGGGGTGCTCCCCCGTCAAACACTGCTTTAACGTGGAGGACAGTGTGGTCCTTGTCACCTCCCATCCGTGAGCACGTGCTGCCTCCTTTCTGATGTGGATCGCACAGATGTTGCTCAGATCAGCAATAAAGGTGGCAAAGACACAGCTCTAATGATCCAGGGAATCTCTCTCCTCACAGCAACGCCGGAGGAGATAAAATAACAGAGGTTGCTCTTGATTATTGGAGAAGGCAGAAAAGAAGAGAAGAAATCCCTTTAAAGGAGCTGCAGTCTCTGATGTCTGAGGAAATTTTCAACAACAAGAACAGTGAGTATCTTCGGGCCCTCATGTCCCAAGACTGCCGATTTGCACTGACTCCTTTCTCTTTTGCAGGTGGTTTCTTCCACAGTCAACTGATCCAGAAGAACCTAATTGACTATTTCATTCCTTTCCTTCCTCTCGAATATCGACACGTGAAAGAGTGTGTCCGGCGGGAGCTCCGCTTGGGAGGCCACCTCGAGGATGAAGACCTCATGACGGAGATTGCCTCGGCCATGACTGACTATCCCAGTGAGGAAAGACTCTACTCCAGCAAAGGCTGCAAGACTGTGGCCTCCAGAGTGATTCTGAGCGTCTAGACATTCCAAAGCCAAATTCCTGGTGTTCTTTCCACAGGAACACAGCAGACGAAAGAAATAATAAATCCCTTTCCCTTCTCTGCCTCGCAAACTACACAGTCTTCCCTGAAGACACTTGGACTCTTGCATACCAGAGGCAATCTTATTCAAGAGCCCTTAAATAAATACCTGGGATAATGTGACAATTGTGGCTTAGAGTAAGCACAAGAGGGACTATGTGAGTGATGAGATTTTCTCTTCTTGCCCCACAAATACTCCCAAACAAAAGTATTTTCAAGGAGAAATCATTCCACTTCTGTTGCAAGATTGTTTGTACCTTAAGTCCTAGCACTGCCCTAATTGGTAAGATTTATTCATAAATCTGCTTGGTTTTATACTGATTTTCACCCATCCATCTCAAATCACAAAGGAGATCAGAAACACCTGGACACTGAAGCACACAGGAGGACACGGGAGTTTCCCAACTCATCCAACAGGCCTTGGTTGGAGGTCATGGTTCCAGCTCCGTGTCCGTGTCACCTCGATGGACCTCGTTACCCGCCACCACCTGGAGAGCACCGGGCAGCGCTGTGCAGCAATGCCTCTGGCTGCCCATCCAAACTAGGGGAAATTCTTGAGTGAATACGGTCAGGAGGTTAATCTACAGCATTTTTGATATTTTCATATTACAGTTACAGTCCCATCCTTAGGCTCAAATACATGACAAAAATATAATACTGGAAAAGCTGGTGAAAATGCTTTCCCAAAGCATAGGAAGCTCCATCTGAATTTGAGGAAAACTGTGAGGGTGACAGAGCAGTGGAACAGGTTGGTGAGAGGCTGTGGAGGCTCCTTCCCTGGAGATCTTCCAACCCGCCTGGATGCCACCCTGTGCTCCAGGTGTCCCTGCTGGAGCAGGGGGTTGGACTAGGTGATTCCCAGAGGTGCCTTCCAGCCTCGACCACTCTGTGATTGTGTGTGAAACCCCTTGTGCCTTGGCACTGTTTCTCCTTATATCTAGGCACCAGTGTTGGCTCACCTTGACTGTTGGGCAGCCTCCTTCAGTTACAGCCACCTGCTGTGACGCACACACTGGGGATGTGACCAGCCGCGCTGCCCAGGGACAGTGTTTACCATACAGCATCCAGCAGGCTCTTCCTGGAGCGGCATTTCTCATGGAGGCTGCAGCGCTCAGCCCTAGCGTGGTGTGCTCGGTGTCTGATGCGCTCCCGGTGACAGTCCCTGTCCCCGATGGCCCCTCTGTGCTCGTGTGTCACTCCCAGCTGCACTGGTCAAAATAGCAGGTTCACGATGGTCTTGTGCTGGGGCAAGGAAAGGCGTGAGCAGAGGAACGACCTGCTGGGGTGGAGGGGACACCGAGTGCCTGCATGAAGGCGCCACAGCCGGGGCCCACTGCACTCTGAGGGGTGGAGGACACAGAGCAAGGACGAGGACAGGGCTCTGGGGGACACAGGGACACTGCGGCATGGCCGCCTCCTTCCCCTGCGTGCAGCG